CCCCGCCGGTCTCCAGCGCGGCTCTGCGCCCGCCGCGCGCCGCGCGCACAAATACCCAGCGCGGGGCCGCGCGCCCGCCCCGCCACAGCCAATCACAACGCTGCCCGCGGGGGCCGCGCCGCTCCCATTGGCTGAGCCGCGCGGGGGGCGGGGCCGCGCGGCGCTGAGGGGCACGGCCCTGTCGGGGCGGGACGGGCGGCGGCGACAGCGGCGGCGACAGCGACGGCGACAGCGACGGCGACAGCGGCCGGCGCGCCCCGGGCAGCCCCGCGGGACCCCCGCGGCACCCCGCGGATGGCTGCCGGAGCCGCCGCGGATGAGCCCGGCGGGGCCCGCTGCAGACGCGCGGAGCGGAGCGCGCCGGGGCCGCGGGCGCTGCGCGGCTCCGTCCCGAGGGGGCGCCAGAGGCTCAGGAACCGCGCGAGGGGGGCGGGGGGGCCGGGCCGGGCCGGGCGCGCCCCCCGAAACCCTCCCGGTACCGCGGGGACAGAGCGGGGACAGCCTCGGGGGGCTGCGGGTGGCCGCCCCCAGAGACCCCAACATCGCTGCTGCGCTTTCGAGTTTTCTCCTTTTTTATTATTTTTTTATTTTTATTTTTTCTTTTGGATTTTTAGAGGGGGGTCCGGAGCGTTCCTGCGCCCAACCCCGAGCTGCGGCATCCGCGCCTTCCCCGTTTATTCCTCTTTATATCCTTATTGCCCATCCTGGTAGCCCCGGTGCAGCTTCCCCGGAGCGGCCGGACCGGGCTGCGGGACCCTCATTCCTGTTCCCCATCCCGGTTCCCCATCCCGGTTCCCCATCCCTGTTCCCCATCCCTGTTCCCCATCCCGGTTCCCCATCCCGGTTCCCCCCATCCCTGTTCCCCATCCCGATCCCTTATCCTGATCCCGCATCCCGGTCCCGCATCCCGGCCTGGAGCTGTGCCCGGGGAAGGAGCGGCCTCTTCCCCACAAAAATAAAAGTTTTGCCGAGTTGATCCAGTCTCGTCCCCGCAGCGGAATCCCGGGAGCTCCCGGGGTTATCCCTGGATAAATACAGATATTTCTCTCTGCAGAAATCTTTAGAGCTTTGTAGGAATCGCACCTTTTTAGCCGCAAGCGGCTTTCCCGTGCGGGTCAGAAGGGAATCGGGGCTGTCACTCCCATCCCGATCCAGGTGGGCAATAACGCAATCCTGGTTTTTAAGGCTCCAGGAGAAGGGGATTCGGTGGGAGCTGCCCTTTCCCACCTCCCTCCCTTCTCCCCGCGCTCCTCAGCTCCTTTCGGGGGCACAAACCTCGGAGCGCTGCTCCCTTCCCGAACCTCGCAGCCCAGAACTTTTCCCCTGCAACTCGAGCGTTAAAGTCGGGGTTTTCTCGAAGCTGCTTTAATTTTAATTTGCTGCTTTAATTTGCAGCCTTTGTGTGGCCGGACAACCCTCGGGGCAGCGGCCGCCTCCGTGTCCTGTCGCGGCGGGGCTCCCCTGTCGCGATTGTCGCCGTTATCCTGACGAGGAGGGTTCCAAGGTATTGGAAAGGGCACGTGGAAAAAAAAAAAAAATTAAAAAAAAAAAAAGGACAAGGCAGCGGGGAAGTCGCTGTGAATAAACGCACTGGAAACCCTCTCCTCGGTTGTTTTTAGTTTTCCCTGAGGTTCTGGTGATGACTTTGTTGGGGGTTTTTTTTTGTTGTTTTTGTGTTTTTTTCTTTCATGCTCGCAGACTTTTTTGGGAAGTAGTTTTGCTTTGGGTGAGTTTAAAGGTAAGTGGCTGTGCTCTGTTCCAGAGCCTTTGTCTGCAGGAACAGGGGCACTGCGAGCAGAGCCGGGATTTTCTCCAGGGGAATTTGGGGCATTTTTTATTCCTGGAACACCGAGGACGCCTTCCCCAGATTTGTATTTCTTTCCTTTGCTAAATATCCAATATTCCAGGAGAGGGCCGCTGAATTTTGCATTGTTATTTGCTGTGAAAAAGGTAAACTTTCAGCCAATACTACAGGAGATAATTTGGATTCTTTTCCCCTGGGTGATCTCAGCTCTAGGCTGGTGCATGCTGGAATTTAGCTCCCCAAACCTCATTTAACAAATCAATTTGCAGCAGAACATCCAAGCAAACGCAGGCAGGAGATTGTTGTGATCTCACCTGGAGCTGCTGGGGCCAAAATCTGAACAAAATGTACCTGGAGAGGAGCAGAACGCGGTGACAGCAGCTTGTCACCCTGGCCCTGCTGCTGATTGGCAGAAACAACTCCGGGACAATTGGGGAGGGTCAGCGATGGAAGGAGGAAAAGGTTCATAATTAGGAGATTTTTCATCCTGCACATCCATCTGCTGGAAGGGGGCTCTGCCTTCCCGGAGCAGGGCGAGGGGCTTGACAAGTTTGAACAATAAACAAAAGCGAGAGGGGAAGGAGCTCTGCACTTATTGTGTGTGATTCGATAATTTCTGGCTTATTATTTTTAATTATTGCTCGATGGACTATTTGGACAAGGTGGACAAGCTGATTAATCACAGCCGGGTGGAAGCTGCCTTTAGAAGCTGCTGCTTTCCCGACAGGATGGAAGTTTTTCTTTTTTTCCTTTTTTTTTTTTTTAATCTGGAATTAACATTGTTTTATCCAAAGTGGCGAGCTCAGGGAGCAGGGAAGGTTTTTTTAGTGAGGATTAAAGCCCTTGTTTGATGGGTTTTTTCCTGCTCCTTGTGCTAAATCGAATCCCTGTTTTTTAGGGAATAATCTTTCCAAGAGTTGGTGCGGGGAGTGGAGGGGATGGGAATTTTGGGAGTGGAGGGAACAGCCCTGGGGGGTGGATTTGGGCAGGTTTTTCTGACAAAATTTAAAATATCGCCGTGCTTCAGATGAGCTGTGCTGAAAAAGTTGTTTTATGGATTTTGGGGGGAGCTTGGGAAGGGTTTGATCCCGCTCCCCTTTGATCCCGAGGAGGTTCAGGCTCTGCTCCGACCCCAGGGATTCGGGATTGGTGTTGGGAAGGTTTCCCCAGGGATGCTGTGGTGTCACCGTGTCCCCTCAACTCCTCCAGTGGGGGAGAAATCCAAGGAAAAGCTGCTGATCCCGGAAAAAGCTTCCCCTGCTCGCTCTGCGTGGTGAGGGAAAAGCGGGAAGGTTTGGGGTGCAGAGAAATTCCCTAAAAACAGAGGCATTCCCACAGCAGAACTCTGAGATTTGATATCAAAACTGGATCGATTATTGATCCGTGGCCCAGCACATGGAATTCCAGGTGGGATTGTGCCTTTGGATCTGGCCAGGAGTGTTTGCTCCGGCGTTTTCCGAGGGAGCTTTTGGCAGGGCTGGTTCAGCTCCGTTAATTGCAGCTTAATTAATGTAAAAATCCCCCTCCTCATTTATTAAATCCAAGCGAGGGGCTGCATCCCACAGAAATATTCCCACACTTTGGCTTCTCCCTCTCTCCTGTGAGCAGGGAAAGCTCAGAAAAGCACAAAAAATTCACTTCTCCTCTCATTTTCCTCCATCCCCTTTTCCCAGCCCTGCTCAGGTCTCCAGGGATTCCACCTTGTGCCATTCCAGCTGTAAAATGCCACGGGTTTCCCTCCTATCCCAAATATTCCCGGAGCAGGGATGGGATCTGTGCTTTGGGTTTTGGTGGGAGCATCCGTGGATGCCAGGACATGGGGTTGGTGTGGAGTTCCCTGATCCCATTCCCTATTCCAGCTGATCCTGGGGAATAAAAGAGGAAATCGGGAGCAGGAGCTGATGGGGGACGGCCTTGGGGCCTTTAGATGGAAATTAATTCCTTAAAGAATTGACTTTAAATCTATAAATTCAGCTGAAAATTCCTTGGGATTGGATTAATTTTGTAAAATCAACTCAGAATTCCTTGGGACCGGATTAATTTTGTAAATTCAGCTCAGAATTCCTTGGGACCGGATTAATTTTGTAAATTCAGCTGAGAACTCCTTGGGATTTTCTGAGTTTTTAAAGTTGTGTTTCTCTGGCCTCTCAGGGTAATAATCAGCCCTGCTGCACCTTGAGCTGGAGACAGCAGGGTGTGATTTCAGCTTGGCAAATCCTGGGAATGCCTGAAAAAACTGGAGAACAGGAATTTCCCCCCTTTTTTGGGAATATATAAAGGAACAGTAGCCTGAAGACTCCAAGGCAATGCCTGAAATAAATTCATTTTTTATTTATGCCTAAAAACACCATCAGGAGGGAGCTGCTCTGGGGAATAAAGTGAAAGGAATTCTGGAATTTTGGGAGAATAATCCCAGCCCTGGGGTGAAATGATCCCGATTATTTCTGAGCTGCTGGCTGCTCCAGAAACAGCAGCCCCTGGAATAGTGGGATTCACTTCCCACTCCCAAAATCATCCCAGAAATGCAAAACTGGGGAGGAATCGGGATTGGGGTGAGATTGGAGGCAGCAGGAAAGGAATTGGGAGCAGGGAAAAGCTGTTTGCCCCTGGAAAAAAAGGTTGGGCAGTGCTAAAAAGAGGAGAATCCGAGGAAAAAAGAGAGAGAAAATTGGGATTTTTAGCTTTGCTGATGGAAATCCCGGTGCTGATGGGCAGCTCCCCAGTTTGGGGAGGCAAATCTGGAATCTGGGGTGGGTTTATTCCCATTCCCACCTGGAATCGGGAGCTGGGGCATTCCCTGGCTCTGGCACTCCTTGGGAAACAGAAACAATTCCCTGTTTTCTGCTCCTTCTCCCACAGCTGGAAACCACCGGGCCTTGGACCTCACAAATGCTCCTGGGATTATTTTTTGGGTTCTTTTTTTCTCCTGGAGATTACAGGGATTAATCGGGAGATTTAGGGAAGGGGGGAATATTTATTTATTTCATTATTTATTGCTTTGCTCCGGGATTTTTGGCTCCAGGCTCTGCAGACTTTGCCTACATGGAAAATTTATCCCTCTCATTTCAAGCAGGATGGAAATCCCTATCCCAAAGCTTTCCCCTCCCTTCCTAAAGGGTTTTCTCCTAGAGG